TAGTCGCAAAGATGTTCACCTCGCTCGCGCTTCGCCGAGTAGTAGCGAGATAGCGCGGTCTAAGTAAATATGAGTAATAATAGCAAATAAACGCATTGCTCAGCAGCTTCCACTTGCGCTTCGTCTTCTTCGGAACCAATGGATGGATCCATCACGAAGACTTAGCTCGAACGACACGCACCACTTGTCACGTACCAGAGAAGCTCCACAAAGGAGACTTCTTCGCCAGAAATTGTATGCTCAGCGTCGTTAGAGCTTTGTTCAATGCAAAATTGAGCGCGCACAAACAATATCTACAACTCCCGTAGCCCATTCAACCTCGTACGTGTGCTGTCTGCTTGATTTCAACACCCACCAGTATTGCCTAAGTGTTGCTTGCTTTTACCACATACCCGATTTCCTACCAGCCGTTTTGGCATTTCCCCTTGGTCAAATTGAGCTCAGAAAAATAATGCCGGGCTACTAGCCTTTTGGACTTGAGCGCTGTCCGTTTCGGTATAAGTATCCGTTGCTAGGAGATCTAAACTTTATTTTTGAAGTTGAGGCTACTGATACGCTCGCCATCCTACCCATCCTACGGATGGGGGCAAGAGAAATCTCTGATTGGATGGGGACAAGAGAAAATGTGTACTCCTTTCTGAAAGGAGAACAATTATTTCAGACAGACAACGTAGACGGATTCTACGTTAAATGCATGCGACTTCGATTACTTTGGAGTTTACTTAAAGAGACATTGGAAGAGGATAGCCCTCAACTCGAAGTCATCAAAGTGCGTGACACAAACAAAGGTTGTTTCAGGCTTTCAAGGGCGAAGCCTAGGAGTTCCAGACAATGAATATCTAATAAAAACGAACTTTAGCAAATATTATGCCAACGGCATTGACTGATACATTGGCTAGTGTACTGAGATCAAAATATTGAGAAAAAGATTGACTACTATAGTAAGATCAAGTATAATACTGTAGACTACATTGACCGATTCATTGACAAGTATAGTGATAAAACTATAGTATCACAGACTGCAAGGAAGAACATTGACTCTTGGACTTGAAATTTTGTTAGATATTTAGGCCTAGAGTACACATTCCTTGATTGGTGTTTTTATTTTATACTACCTCCGGTCCGAAAGAAAATGATCACTTAAATATGGTGTTGTTAACATAATTTTTATCGTGTTCTTATTGGGTGAAATGTGCTAATTTAACTTGCTGCTTCACAGCCATTTATTGGCTGCTGTCCTTGGCGCCAACCTAACGCGCGCCAAATACGAATTCATCTGCTGTCCTTGGCGCCAACCTAACGCGCGCCAAATACGAATTCATCACACCCACATTTTCCCTTAGTAGCTTGTGGTGGAGTGGGGTTCGCAAAATCGCGTTGCGATCCACTCGGACACACAGTGCCCTGGACTGCCGACTGACGGAGGGGGTACTCCGATAACCGTGGGGTTG